CCTTGCCCAGAGGCGCCGTGCTGCTTCCGGCTCTGTGATCTGCCCTGTGTCTGTTCTCCAATAAAAGAAGAAAGTGAGCTCTGGGGTGCGGTGCAGTGATTTCATACAGGGGGGGAGGGGGGAGGGGGACAGACGGGAGAACAGTGCTGTGGGCTCAAGTAGCACCCTCCAGCAAGGACTGCTGTGTCTGGCATGGGCCAGTCTGTCCGCAGCGGAGAGGCTGGACTGGGTGGTGAAGGCAAGCCTGCCTCTTCCTGGCTTTGGGCAACAGGGCCTTCCCGGGAGCAGGGCTCACCTTTCCAGGCGACAATCATCCTGTGGCTCCAAGGAGGCCAAGATATCCGCTACTGGGGACAAAAGCGGGGCGGTGGGTCTTGCCAGCCAGGCTTCTGAGCTAGCAGAGGGCCTGGTGTGCCTCTGGACCCCGTGCACCTGAGATGGGGTTGGGTGGGGCAGAAAGGACAGATTCGGCTTCTCTAGGGACAGCAGGCTGGAGACCCAGGGGTGACCGGGTCCAGGGCAGTGGTCTGGACAGTGGTCAGCTTGGGCCCGAGCCTGCCATGGGGGAGCATGTCTGGGGTGTAGGGTGAGTGGGAGTAGGCTGTGGCCAAGTCCCCTACTCCGACGACATAGGGTCCTCAGACGGCCTGAAGCTTCCTGTCACTGGGGGGAGCTGCTTTCCCCTCTTAGGCCCCAGGGGTGCCCGAGCAGCTTATGGGCCCCTCTCCAGGGCAGGAGCGGGGGATCCTCTTCCTCTGACAGCTGTGGCCCTTAGCTGGCTCCAACCTTACCCAAGACCCCAACTCCTTCTCCTGATGGGGTCAAGGGCTCCCTGACTTGAAGATCCCAGCCTTGCCAATACCTTCTGTGAGCCTGAGGCTCGTTGGCAAAATGGGACTGGTACCTGTTGGGCAGGCTTATTGGACATAAATGTACTGGAACCAAAAGGAGCTTAATTGTGCTTCTGGCATAGTTCCATCTTTGCAGTCTGGGGCCGGGCTGAGGGCAGGGGCTCGGATGTGTTGGCAGAGGCCTAGAGACAGGTTTTCAGTACATTCGGGGGATGCTGGGGTGGCTCAGTTAAGTGTTTGCCTTCGGCTCAGGTCATGATCTTGGAGTCTTGGGATCGAGCCCCACATCAGGTTCTCAGCTCCGTGGGGAGCCTGCTTCTCCCTCTGCCACTCCCCCTGCCTGTGCTCTTGCTCTCTGTCAGATCTTTAAGGTACCTTCAGAACAAGGTTTTGTGATTCTGGGTCTGCCTTGGTTCTGGTTCTTGCCCCTCAAAGTGTGGGGTGTGAACATTCAGCATCTCCAGGCGATTAGTGGAAAGGCAGAACCTGGGGCCCCATCCCAGATCGAATCTACATTTAGAAATCTCCAGGTGATTCGGGTGTGTTAAAGTGCAGGGGGGTGGGGGGATTTGCATCAGGAAGGAATCCTACCCCACACTACCCCCCCCCCCCAAGCAGATCTGGGTGTGCTATGGGAGGGAGTAAAAGATTGGAGGTAGGAGGGGGGCTTCCTGGAGCTGGTGATCCTGGAGCAAATCCATGAAGAACCAGCAGGTCCTGGTTGGACAAAATGGGAGAGGTGGGTGTGGAGGGAGGAGAGGAAGGGAGAACACTTTCTCGTGGAAGAATGGACGGCCTGGATGCCTGTAAGAGCGGGGAGGAAGGGAGGCCTCCTAAAAAATGAGTCACAGCGTGAGAAGCCACCGACTGGACAGTCCAGGTCAAGACTCAGGAACGGGGCACCTGGGTGGCTCAGTGGGTTAAGCCTCTGCCTTCGGCTCAGGTCACGATCCCAGAGTCCTGGGATCGAGCCCTGCATCGGGCTCTCTGCTCAGCAGGGAGCCTGCTTCCTCCTCTCTGCCTGCCTCTCTGCCTGCTTGTGATGTCTGTCTGTCAGATAAATAAAATCTTAAAAGACTCAGGAACAGCAGAACATGGCCTGGAGGCAGAGAAGCAGCCTGGCTCTTTGCCACTGCTGGCCCAGCGCAGCGGGTCCCTTTGTGGGTGAGACACATTGTCCAGAGGCTGAGTGAGGAGGGTGATTGATGGCCTCCTGGTTCATGCAACAGGACTCAGGGCAGGGTGGGGGGGGATTGTGTCCCATCCCACCCGGCACAACTCCTCACCCAGCCTGTTTCCTCCCACTTAGCATCACCGCGTTTTAGATGGAGTTCTCCAGCCTTCAGAGCTCTGGGGAGGAGCAATGTGGTACTTGGGGTCCAATGAAGGGACTCCGGATGAGTATCCCCAACGTGTGTTTCTCAGCCTTCAGCCCAAGATCTGCCACATGCCAATGGAGAGCCAACAGCTTAAGATAAATTTTTTCCCCTCCCTTAGCTACCTAGAGGTATTGAAATTTGGGTGGGAGTGGCGGGGGGGGGAGTGTCTTTCCCAAAATGGGAGTTTTACCAGAAATTTTATCTGAGTGACCCATCTGTGTGTGTGTGGGGGGGGTGAGGTGGGGGGACAAACTTTTTTTTTTTTTTTTTAAGATTTTGTCAGAGCGCCCAAGCAGGGGGAGCGGCAGGCTGAGGGAGAAGCAGGCTCCCTGCTGAGCAAGGAGCCTGATGCAGGACTCGATCCCAGGACCCCAGGATCATGACCTGAGCCAAAGGCAGACACTTAGCTGACTGAGCCATGCAGCGCCCCATACCTCTGTGATTCTTGCCCTGTGAATTGCCTAACCCTGCCCACCCCCTTCCTTAGCTCAGGATGTCCTGTAGACTCCACGTCACCTTTGTCTTGGGGATCGCTTCCTTCCTACAAAATGCAGTCTGATTTTTCTCCCGTTCATCCATCTCCTGTCAACCTGTAATTTACCCACGTCGGTTTGCACGCTGGGATGTCAAACGGCAGCAGGATGAGCAAATAAGGAGATCAGGCAGAACGGCTTACAACGACCACGGGACTTCTGGAGACAGAGGCGGGGTGGGTGGGTTCCCTTTATTTAGACCTAAGATGACTAGATGAGGAAGCTTTGCCTTCCTATACAGGGTGGGTGTAACGTGACTTGATGCAGGCGCCTGAAGGAAACATGCCCAAGGCCTAGTTGTACTTCATGTAAATGAGGCTGGGTGGAGATTTTAGTGCTCTGATGAGGTGAAGGTGATTGTGGATTGGTCCAGAGGTCACCGCCCCATGGGTCATCTGCATGGGACGGAGTCAGGTTTCCCTCAAAAACGTCTGGGTGGTGGGACCCCTGGGTGGTTCAGTGGGTTAAAGCCTCTCCCTCAGGTCATTATCCCAGGGTCCTGGGATGGAGCGCCGCATCGGGCCGGAAGCCTGTTCTCCCTCTCCCACTCCCCCTGCTTGTGTTCCCTCTCTATGTCTCTCTGTCAAAAAAACTTAAAAAAAAAAAAAAAGAAAAGAAAAAGGTCGGGGTGGTCTGGGCAGCTGACATTACCCCATCACCAGAGGGGTGGTTTTGGGTTTCATTTGTCTGAGCTCAGAGATAAACCAAAAGAAGGTCCGAGAAGAGTGTGGGGGGGGAAGTGTAAGACAAAGTTGAGTTTGAGCAGGTGCACAGTGAAAGGTCAGGTCTTGGGGTCTAACTAGTGACAAAATTCTTAGACCAGCCAGATTTGAGACCTTTTGGAGACAAGAGAATTTTCACTCCCCCCGGCCCCCCGCCTCCAACCAGCATCTGTTGGGACAGAAGGCTTCCACAAGCTATGGCTACTTCCAGGACATGATGCCGAGGGGACTGTCCCCGGGACAACCACCCATCCGTTATCTGCCCTCCTGTTTCTGGGGCTTGCGACATCCTGGGAACTCCTCTCATTCAACTTCTGCAGTCCTCAGAATGAACAGGAAGTGGCAGTATATGGTGGTGGGGGAGGAAGTGTGACTAGAATGTGACCCAGGACGTCAGCCTCAGCCAGTTCTAGACCTGCCTCTGCTAGGGGCGAAGCTGGCCTCAGGGCAGGGCAGGCGGGACAGGCCGCTTCCAGCGGTGAGGGCAGAGGTCCCTGCCTTCCAGACTTCAAGGGAAGTCTGGGGAAGTGCAGAAGATAGCCGTCCCCTGAGGGTTGTCTGGATTTCCATTGCTAACAACCACTGTTGCCCTGGTTTTGGGGGCAGCTTCCTACCTCACACATCCTGTGGCTCAGTCCTTCCTGGGTTTCAAACTTTGCCTTTGGGCTTCCTGGTAGTCAGGGGGAAAAAGGAAAGGAGGTTGCTAAAAGGGACCAGGCTGGGCAGGGTGGGTAAAAATCATGATTGCACAAATACAAAATGAAAATGTGTCCAAGGTCCAGTAACTCCTTTTTTGAGGGAAACCGCAAGATGTGAAAACCAGTTCAAAGGAGAATCTGAAGACTTACATAAAGATAATCAGGAATGCAGAAATGAATTTGCAGATAGATGCAAACTTGACTTCCTCCAAAGGGCAGAAATCAATTGCATCTTCACAGAGGGGCTGGGAATCCTTTGCAATCATTTGCATTACTATAAACTTTCTACAATATACAGAATGCCTTAGGGATATTTAATTTAAATACCTTAGGGGTGCCTGGGTGGTTCCATGGGTTAAGAGGCTGCCTTTGGCTCAGATGTGATATTGGGGTCCTGGGATCTAACCTTGAGTTGGGGTCCCTGCAGAGCAGAGTCTGCTTCTCCTTCTTCCTCTCCCTGCCCCCTCCTTCGGCCTCCCCATTCGTGCTCTCTATAATCTTTAAAGGGGAAAAAAAAATGTAAAAGAGTAGGCAAGACAGGCTTTTATAGAATCAGATAATCTGGAAGGTTGCTAGAGGACATCAAGTCGTGTTTTTGCCCATGTCCAAGACTCACACTTTTGCCTGATGGGTGTTAGATGTATCAGGCATTTTTAGCAAGAGATTCTAAGCAGCTCCTAGGGACTAATGGAAGTTTTGCAGGGGAGGCTGGACACCACCAGAAAGATGACTCTGTCTCTCGGTTGTGGGGGGTGGGGCTCTTGCCCTCAGCCTTTAGGAAACCTGGCTTGTCCACACAACCCTGAGCCCTGTCTTGAGCAACTCCGGCTCCCAAACCAGAATGCCAGAGTATTAACTTACAATGAGAATGACTGCGGCGGAGGGCAGAGGTCGAGTGAGATTGCCCAGTGTTCAAACAAACTTCTCGGATGAATTAGCTGAGTACATCCGTTATTTCAGACTCGCAGCAAGGGAAGCAGCAAAAAGGACAAGCCAGCTGAAAACATGTTCCAAGGGGCCAGGACTGACATAAGATAATGCTTTTAGGGGCTTCACTCCTGGGGCTGCAAAGCCATCATGCCTTTGTTGGCTGTGTAGGTCACACCTGGGTCCTGAGCGGGCCCCGTTGCCCAGAGATGCCAGGTGCTGTCTATTAATCAGAAATAATGAGCCAGGCAGCTGTGGCTTCTAATCAGACAATCCCCCCAGAGCGTCAGATGGAAGCCAATTAGCTGAGGCACCAAGCAACAAAATTCTGCCTTTCCAAGCAAAACATCAGAAAGTGCTTGAGCCCCTCAGCGGAGAGGCCGGCCCCCGAGTCTAGCCTTTTCCCACATTTACGTTGATCTTTTCTTGTTCCCGGGTGAGCTGGGGGCCAGTTCCAGGACTGGAAGCTTCGGAAGCAGTAAACCCTGGCCCCTGGAGTGGAGTCTGAGGACTTTCTGAGGGAAAAAAAAAAAAAAATTAAGTTTCTTTGGCCACCACCTCTCCCCATTCTGTGGCCAAGAGCCACATTCTTTCTCGGGCCACGTCATTCATTCTCAGTTGCTAGGGAGCCTTCGGAGGCCTATGGGCGATGGCACAAACTCCAGTTTTTGAGACATGAAAAACAACAACGACAAAAAACAAAGCTCCCCTTCTGGGCAGACGGTTTCGTTAGGACAGAGAGCCAATGCCAGGAATGTGGCAGCTCCTCTCCTAGGAACACTCTACCCGGCATCCCTAACCTTCCCTTCTGTACTGTGTGTGTGTGTGTGTGTGTGTGTGTGTGTGTGTGTAGACGGCGGAGGGGGGCACGCTCATATTTTTCAAACCAACCACACAAACAGGTGCACATTCTCTACACTCTATAAGTTCCTTTTTTTACTTAACAATAGCCCTTGGCCACCGTTCTATTAGCTCCTGTGACTCTTCCTCATTCTTCCTACCAGTGTTCCAAGGTCATTTAACCATCCCCCTACTGCTTCCGGTCCTTTGCCATGGACATTGGTTTAAAGTTCAGTCTGCAAGTGGCCAATCCCGTTTTCCCTCCTTTCCAGCTCCCCTGGGACATTCCGACATCCCGCTGCAGCCTTGGAACACAGCACACTCACTCCCTCCTACCTAAAAATTTAAAGTCCGTGCCCTCCCTCCCTCTCCCCCCACATTCTTCCTCTTGCTGTTGCCCTATTTCGCTTCTTTTCACGACCCAAACTCTTTATTTTTCCCAAATAAAAATAGTCTTTCTTTTCAGGTTATAAAAAAGGAAACTATTCTTTGGGACACACTCAAATGATGCAAGAGGAGTACAAAGAAAGTGAAAGTCACCTGCTCTCCTGCTCATCAGACGTGACTGTGTTGGCTAGTGTCCTTCCTGGCACATCCGGTCACGGGCGACCTTACGTAAGCAGCCTCATTCCACACATGCCGGTACAGCCTCTTCTGCCCCCTGCCCTGATGTGTGCCACACAAAGGTTGTTCTTGGAAGAGCGGGCTGCACTCCTGGACTGCACAACCTTCCCAGAGTGCATCTACACGCTCGAGCCCATGATTCTTGTGGAAACCAGTCCAGCCCCAGTGGCCTTCCTGTAGCAAAGCTGGAGGCTTGGGGGCATTTCCTGAAGACTGCAAGATATGACAGAGCCCAGAACTGGGAGGCAGGGGCCCTGGCATCTGGAATAGGCACCCCTCCCAGCCGACTACCTTGTTGGGCCTCTCAGAAGTGTCTGTCACCACTGGGTGCCGCCTTTGTGGGACATTCTTCTTGATTCTCTGCCACCACGCTCACGCCGGACTCCCCCCACAGTCCAGCCTGCTTTCTGGACTCTTCTAGGTCTCCTCTGTTCTTCAAAGTCAGTGTTCCTTAGCTCTGGACCCACCTTTTTTTATCTTCCATAGTCTTTCCAGGTGATCTCCATCTCATTGCCCGGGACTCCCGAATCCCTATCTCTACCCAGATGTCTGGATTTGCTTGCCTCCCTACCGCACACCCAACTTGTTGACTGAAACCCCCCTCCCCTTTTCTTTAAATATTTTATTAATTTATTTGACAGAGATCACAAGTAGGCAGAGAGGCAGGCAGAGGGGGAGGAGGGAAGCAGGCTCCATGTTGAGCAGAGAGCCCAATGTGGGGCTCAATCCTGATCCCGGGATCCTGGGATCATGACCTGAGCTGAAGGCAGAAGCTTAACCCACTGAGCCACCCAGGCGCCCCGCCCCTCCCCTTGTCTTTTGTGCGCCACCTCATGGGAAGACACTCCATGCACCCAGCCTTCCAGGCTGTGTCCTACTTCCTGCTTCTGGGAAACTTCTCCACCTTGGCCTTGCCCCTGGCTCCCATACTGGTCCCAACCTGGGCAGCCCCATCCAGCCGCCCTCAGAGCTGCAGCTCCTCCTGCTGTCTGAGTTTAATGTCCTCCCTTTTCCAGAGCCTAGGTTCCAGAACCTTCTGAGCCCAGCCTGCCACCTTTGTTCTTTTTGAGCTGTGGGTGTGTGGTGTACGCAGTGGAATGTAGGAGACAATAGCTATCACTCAAGCATTTCACTGAAGAGAAAGGAAACACTTAAGAGAACACCTTTTCAGGGTGGGAAGGCTTTTCTAATGCTGCAGACCATTTCTTCTGCTCCACCCTCCCCACCCCCACCATGCCCCAACGAGGCCAGTCACATCGGGCTGCTCAAGTCTGGGCTTAGACACGACCAGCTCTGCCAGTTGCTAGCTCTGTGACCTTAGACACATCGCTTAAACTGTCTCAGTGTCCCCATCTTTAAAATGAGGATAACGAGAGGGTGCCTGGCTGGCTCATTCAGTACAGTATGCGACTCCTGATCTCAAGGTTGTGAGTTCAAGCCCCACGTGGGGCGTGGAGCCTACTTTAAAAACAAAAAAAGAGGATGATGTTAGTACCTATCTCATGGAGAGGATTTACTGTGAGGTGATGCATGTTTAGTGTTTGCCACATACTAGGTGCTTTGGAAATGTAGATGGTTTTGGCTCAGAATACGGAGATTCTGAGAGAAAGGAAATGTCCCCCTTCTAACCTGTAGCCACTGCAGTCACCTAGTGTAAATCACAGCTAGAAAGTCACCCTTCAGTTCTAGAAAGAGGGCTGGCATCATGGGGGAGAACCTGACTTTGGTGCCTCCCCAGACTCAAGGCTTATATCCTCAAAGTCGGGTCCTGGGTCATGAAGAGTCCTGGCCTAGGGTCCTAGAAGAGGGCCCACCACAGGCACTCCTTCGCCCGTTTCACTGACTTTGGGTGGATTAGTCCCCTTCTCTGGCTTCCTTTTCTTTCTTTCTTTCTTTCTTTTTTTTTTTTTTAAGATTTTATTTATTTATTTGAAAGATCACAAGTAGGCAGAGAGGCAGGGAGAGAGAGAGGAGGAAGCAGGCTCCCTATGAGGCAGAGAGCCTGATGCGGGGCTCGATCACAGAACCCTGGGATCAGGACCCGAGCCAAAGGCAGAGGCTTTAACCCACTGAGCCACCCAGGTGCCCCATTTTTTTCCCCCCTTTTCTATAAAATAAAGTTTTGAACTGAGTGATGGGGGTAGGGGTGGGAGGAGATGTCTCTTCCTTAAATCCCTGATGAAATCTGGGTGACATAATATTATGTAAAGATACTCAACTTTAGTCCAAGATTCAGAGAACTCCAAAGCCCCTGAAACTGTGTGCAAGATTATATGTGTGACCTGTATGTACATGGGTGTGAGCATTTCTGTCTGAGCATATTTTGGGAATAGCTTTCTTTAGCTCTGTAAAGGAGGTCTGTGATCCCAGAAGAATAGTCACCATCCTGGTTCAGGCATTCTATCTGGACTACGGCAACAGCCTCCAAATTGGTCTCCCCGCTCCTTTCTCTGTCCTTTAAACCTATCCTCCACCTACCACACAGGTATCCTTCTAAACTGCAACGCTGGCTGTCATTCCCTTGCTTGAATCTTCCTGTTGGCTCTGGTTGCCTAAATTCCTTGCATGGTCATTTAAAGACAATCATGATCTTACCCAGCCTGCTCCCCACACTCATATCCTGGTGCATTCTAATCTATTTTCTCTGTCCTCAGCCCCTCTGTGTCCTCTCCTGCCCTGGCCACAGGGAACGTTTCTCTGCTTCCTGAATGCATCAAGCACTTTCACAACTCTCTTCCTTTGCAGTAACTTCCCTGTACTCCATCTGACAAATCCTGTATGTGCCTCAAAATCCAACCCAGGCGTCCGGCCCCTTTGTGATGTCTCCTTGACACCTCCCCCAAATTAACCACACCCTTTGTGCTCCAGCTCTTGTGCTTAAACACATTTATCCCACTGAACTGTGATTACGTGTTTGAGTGTCTGTCTCCCCAGGTAGAGATGAAGCTCTCCAAGGAGAGAAACCAAGTTTCTGACTCATGTTTTAATCCCCAGTGTCCAGCACAGGGCCTGGCACTACGTATGTACGGTAAAGATCTAAAATGAGTCAATAAGTTAATGAAGGAAGTCAGTGAGTGAGCAGACTAAGAAGGAAGAATGCATACACCTGAACAGGTGCGTGTTGGGTGGGGTCCCGCCCCGCCCCCAACCCACGGAACTACATTTCCCAGAAGGCCGCGCGTCTTGCGCATGCGCACCCGAGGGCTAGGAAGCTGCGACGCCGAGTTTCACTCTGGCTACCTCCTCAGAGTCGGAGGTTCAGTCGGAGCCGTGCCCAGGCCGAACCCGAGCTGTAGCCCGAGCGCGGCGGTGCCCTCCGCCTGCCCCCTCGCCTTCCTCCGCTTCGGTGAGAGGGGCGGGCAGGCCACTTGCCTGTCGCCAGGGCTGGGGTCCCGGGGACGCGGGGGAGACGGAGCCGAGCTGGGACCGGAAGGGGGCGGGCGTGGGAGTGAGGGAGGGCTGGGCTGGGCCGGGCTGGGGAAGAGCCCCGGGGTGAGGTCCGGGGGGATTGGGAGGACCCGCCGCGGGGCTGGGGCCGCAGGAGGCGGCAGCTGGGGGAATCGGACGCGCTGGCAACTTGGGACAGGACTAGGTGCGAGGGTGAACGCCGGGTGGAAGGCGAAGGGCTGGAAGGGGGAGGGGCGCAGACCCTGGGAGTTTGGGGCGGTCGCGAGGAGGGTACCCCTTCCCAGAGGACGGAGGTCGAGGCGGTAGGGATATTGTCACCGAGCTGCGTGGTTCGGGGTGTGGATTCTGCTGGGCTCTGACTCCGGGTGGACGACTCGCTAGAGCCCGGGGCTGTACTTTGGAAGAGTTTGCCCCCGAACTCCGCTTCCCTCGCCTCAAGTAGCGGTGGCCCCTCCAGGAAACTCCTGTTTCTTGGGGCCCTGGGTTACTTTTGAAGGGTGCATAATGTATGTTGAAGAGGGTTTAGAAGACGCTCTTTTCTGAAGCCGTCCTTTCGCGTGCCCCCCCCCACACTCCCCTCAAGCCAGCTGCTCTCCTCCACACTGGTTCCACTTCCTAAGTGCCAGTAACAATGGAAATAGTGTGTGCACAGGCGCTTCGACCGTTAAGAATTAACTCAGAATATTTTTGCCTGCCATCCTGACTCGTCTAGAGTTCCGTAAGGCAGACTTTCTGGGAGCCAAAGTCAGGCTTTACCATCGTGCTCACTATAACGAGGTCTCTTGTTCATTCGCTGTGTGACCTTGGGCAAACTTTTACCCTCTCTGGTGTGCTCATTTTCCTGGATACTTAGACTGTACACTGGCTTGTGAAGTCTGTTTAGGCCTTCCCATGAAAGAGCTGAGGTGTTTGTTTTTGTTTTTTGTTTTTTGCTTTTCCCCTCCGTCTTCTTGATTACTGAGCAGGTAGAGAGGGAGACTGTTGTACCTTCTGCCCTGCCCAGGCTGTCGGAAAATAAATCCGGTGGTTTCCAGTCCCCAGCCGCAGCGCACAGACCCAACATCTGTGCATTCGTTTTCACTGACTGCCGTTTCTCAGTTTAAAACCTGATCATCTTTTTCCTTGTTGGCAAAGGTGCCCCGGAATTTGCCTGACCGAGTCCCCAAGGCTTTCCGATTTGCTCAGTTTCTGTTGTTTGCGTTTTCTGTCAAGATGGGAACTCAAACAAGTCATTCCTCCTAAGGATCTAGTGTCTTCGTCGCGAAGAGACCGTTTGTGCCGGCCCTCCAGAGAGAAAAGGTAAGAGCCCTGGGGACTTCTCATTGCTGCCTTTTGGATCTGGTTTTTCAATAGAGGGGGTGGAGATTGGGGAGGGTAGAATTTGAGGCCTTCGTGATGAAAGTCAGCCTTGGGAGTCGAATGTTGATTGCCAACGGTCTCAAAGTCAAGTGCTTTCTTGCCAAGGGCTTCTCCTGTTTAACCAGTCCTAGAAGATGCTTTCCACAGTTTCCACTCAAGGCATGCTTTACGGGGTGAAGGACGCAAGTCATGATTTCTGCATCTGAACTGGAAATTGGTATTTCTTTTGTTGCACGAACAAAACTGGGTGCCTTCTTTGTGCCAAGCCCAATACTCAGTGGTGGGACACCCTGATGAGCGACAAAGGGCTCTGTTACCTTGGAGGTCATCATTTGGTGGAACAGACAGATGGACCGTAGACGGTGGAAAGGTGTCGTCGGTGTGCTGTGTGTTGAGGCAGGAGGAATCACAGGGCAGAGCCCCAGCCCCCGGTCCGCTAACCCCATTTGTTCAGGAAGCGGTAGGAGGGAAGGTTCCGGAAGAGGATAACTAAGGTGAGTTGTGAAGGAGTAGGACTTGAAAAGGAGGGGAGAAGCCCAGCAGAGGAGTTGGCGTCTGCAGAGTCCGGAAGTTACCTGGTGCGCCTAGGCCACCGGAAGTAGCTCCATGTGGCTGGGCCAACTAGGGCTGGGTGTGGGGTCGAGGAGGCTGGTGAGGTAGGCAGAGGGCTGAATGTGGAGGGTTTTGTGGGCTGTGCCAAGGCTCTGGGGAGCAGGATTTTAGCAGAATTCCATGAGGGCATTTTAAACGAGCTCACGGGCTGGAAAGTATGGGATGGATTAGACCGGATTATGCTCTTTGTGAGTCTTAGTTTACACCACGCCAGCTTCTGATAGTCGGGGAGTTAGACATGAGACGTTGCCTTCGGTTTGCTTATAGCCCCTTTGAAGAGATAGAATGGACGTAGAGAACTGTACCGGGCAGACAAGGGCTGTGGAAGTTGATAAGAGGGTGTTTTCTTTTAGTTGGGTGCCTTGAGGCATCATGGCCGTGCTGTTTAAACTGTTGTTTTGTTTTTTAAGATTTTATTTATTTATTTGACACAGAGAGCGAGAGAGCACAAGCAGGCAGAGCAGCAGGCAGAGAGAGAGGGAGAAGCAGGCTCCCCACTGAGCAGGGAGCCCAATGCGGGGCTGGATCCCAGGACCCTGGGATCATGACCCGAGCCGAAGGCGGTCGCTTAACCAACTGAGCCACCCAGGCACCCATGGCCGTGCTGTTTAAACTGCGTCTTGGAAGTATGGGTAGGGGGAGGACGAGGGGCCAGGTGGGCAAATTCTGCACGGAGCCAAGGCACGGAGGTGGGACAGCTGGGTGTATGGGGGGAGGTGGGGGGCGTTGTCACTTAAACTGTTGGGGACGGTTGGGTTGGGGAAGGGGAGGTGTAGACCAAAAGAGGGTACTGAAAGCAAGTGCGCTAGCAAATACTGGTGATAGGGAGGGACCAGATTGCGATGGGCTTTCAGTGTCAACCCAAGGAACTTGAAATGTGTTCTGGAGGTATACTTTGGGAGGTTCTGTCTTGCACGCGGCTCTCAGGTGGACCAGGAGGGACCGCTGGAGAAGCCAGTTGGAAGAGAATACTTACCAGGGTGAGAGGCATTAAGGTCCAAAGCTGATGCTGGCAGCAGGGGCTGAGGAGGTGAGGAAAGAGGCGAGAGCAAGCCATGGCAGCTGCAGGGCTGTCAGGAAAGGTGGTGAAGAGCTAGAAATCCAGGTTTTTCTCCTAACTGCCTGGGGCAGGGACTCCACGGGGGGAAGCAGAATTAGGAAGGAAGGTGAGTCAGGCTTCAGACATGGAAGGTGCCCAAGGGGCCAACAGGAATGGGGCCACGGGCCCCACAGAAACTGGGTGCCAGGGCTAGTGCTTGGCGCTTGGGGTAAGATGTGTTTCTTTTAACGTTTACCTTGGGTAAACACAGAGCTGGCTTAATTTACACTCATCACCGTTCACGCGCGGCTTGCTTTTATTTATTTCCTAAGGGATTTTTTTATTTTTAAAGATTTCATTTATTTGACAGAGATCACAGGTAGGCAGAGAGGCAACCAGAGAGAGAGGAAGGGAAGCAGGCTCCCCACTGAGCAGAGAGCCCGATGCGGGCTCGATCCCAGGACCCTGGGACCATGACCTGAGCCGAAGGCAGAGGCTTCAACCCACTGAGCCACCCAGGCGCCCCTCCTAAGGGATTTTTAATGAATGTAGCCAGCGCCTGCATTCCATTGACCCAAACCAAAAGCTTGAAAGGAAAGTATATGTGTAATCCTTTGATCTTTCTCCCCATCCTGAGCTAACCAGTATCCCCTTGGGGTAGTTTTACCATACCTGTGTGTTTCTAAGGGGGAAAAAAAAATACATTGTTGAGATTTATCTGAATTACTGCATGTCGTCGTCTGGTTCATTTGTTTTCACTGCCAAGTAATCCATGGAGTGAGCACACGACAGTCATGCATCTAATCTCCCGCTGATGGGCACGGGGTTGTTCCTAGGTTTCTGCTGTTGCAAATGTGCTGCTCTGGACATTTCCCGGCACATCTGTAGCACATGTGTGAGAAGTGTTCTTGGGTGTGAATTTCGGGGTGACAGTTTGCTGGGTTATAGGGTAAATAAAGGCACTGCTCTCACAGACAAAGCCAGACTGTTTTCTCAAGTGGTTGTACCAGCGTGTGTGTGTTCCTGTTCCTGCCGTCACTCACTACAGGCCGACTTTATTTTTGCCGATTGAATGGGTATAAAACGGGATCATTGGGATTGTGATTTCTGTGTGCCTGACCCTGACATGGGATAAAAATAAGCTCGTTGGCATACGTGTTTCCTGTGAAATATTTGCTCGTGATTTTTGCCAACATTTTGTTATGTACTGATCATAAGGGTTCTTTACAGATTCTTGATTTTGATCCGTTTGTTCATATTGTGAATGTTTTCTTTTTTCTTCTTTATTTAAGCCGTCTTTTGTTGAACCATTCTTTTTTTTTTAAAAGATTTTATTTATTTGACAGATCACAAGTAGGCAGAGAGGCAGGCAGAGAGAGAGAGGAAGGGAAGCAGGCTCCCCGCTGAGCAGAGAGCC